GGGGAGTGAATTTTGACCCTTCACTGATCAGTGATCTGAAGCGAGCCCAGGTGACTGCCTGGCACTAGTGTACTGTATGTTTCAGGGTATACCAGGTGCTGCACTTAAAATTCAACATTTCTTCAATCCTGTTGCCTTTTTATATTTTGCTGGTTTTGGAATATCAGCGGCTCTCATTCGATTCCGCCCACAATAAAACGGAAAGAAAATAAAACCTGTCAATGACTGGGTAAAAGTTGTTTTATACTGTGTTACTCTGAAGCAGCTTGTTTGGGTTTGAAACCCACAGCGCCCATTTTGTGCCCACTGGTCAAGTTTAACAGCATTTCTGGCGCATTTTGTACCGGCTCAGAGCCCATTGAAAAGCTGTGCTAGGCAGGAGAGGCTCAAAAAGACCTAACACTCTCATATTCTGAGGTCTCCGCAGCGCTGCAAGCCTGGCCATTGAGCAGTTTTTACAGGACAGCCGCCGCCTCTCTGCAGGATACACAGAATCTGATCAAGTTGAGAGATGCATAGAGACAGTGCTTCATGCAGCGCTTTATAACACGGCCCTTTGACGTCCCTTATCCCCAATCCGTACTTTGGAAATAACTTCACCTCGCTTTTAGTCTTGCAAAGACAGTGTAGTCGCGCCGAGACTGAGCCCCGCCGTCCCGTGCCATTAAAAGGCGGTATTTACCATAAAGTTTCCAAGCGTCCGGGAGGTGAGTCCTAGCCGTTTATTCTGTTCAGTCTAATCCATGCAAGGGTAACCAATGACTTTCCTATTTTTCCTACTTTATTTTAAAGACAAAAAATAATAATTTAACGACATTTCGCTGAAGCGCCACTACTCACAGCGAAAACAGTGAACACGACTCCTTCTAACGTGAGCCCGTACATTACAAATGTTTCAGTTAGTGCATGAAAACGGAGTGCCTGCAGAACTGTGTTTTTGTTGTCGCTGTGAATGTGAATCCAAGCCTAGTGTAGATGTTAGTGGCCGAGAACGTGTGAGTAGGGCAGAGTTACCACCGATGCGGATCAATCACTCAAACACAGAGACTGTCTTTAAAACGTTAAAATGACCACTCAGCGATTTAACTCCATTCCTCCACACAAACACTAAAGGGTCTGCACAAATTGATTTTACAGACGTGTAGCAAATGGTTGGCGCTTAACTTCAGGGGGAAGAAGGACAAGACCTCAGTTAGAAGTTTTCTTGTGGAATGTTTGTCATTTTGAAAGGAGAATGGCGATGCTAGCCGCTGCCCGGCTCGCTAACCTCGCCGTTTCCGAGAGCTTGCAGTTTGGACGCTGACTGAGGGTGTGAATGGCTGGGACTCGGGGGTTCAGTGTTTCTGGGAGAGATAATTAATGACAAGACGCACGTGCTCCGTTTTCTCTGTAACAAAAAGGCGTAATTCAATTAGGTCATCAAATGGCTATGCCGTTGTATCAGCTCTCTGAAGTCACCGTCTGAGGGCAAGGCAGGCTATTTGACCCCTGACTCACAGTCGACCACATGGGCAGGCCCGGGGCACAGTCCTTCAAATAATTTGAGCCAACTGTTTATCAGTACAACAGAGAGAGAGAGTGAGAGAGACAGAGAGAGTAACACAGGTTTAAAACCAGCTTGATGGCTTAAAACGACAAACCCTAACCCCATGGATCCTGCACAGGGCGGGCCTGGATGCGGAGTAATTCACAGGGAACAGGTTTTCTCGTGCGAAAGTTCATTCTAACATAAATCCTAAGCTCGAAATGACCATAAAATTCCATTTGAAATGCCGTGCCGATACACTCTCCCACTGCTCATTTCCTCCAGTTTTCCACATTGACATTTCGGGCTCAAAACAACGTCTGTGCTCCACTGGAGCCATGAAAGTATCGATACTTTCATTGAATGGTGCTCAAAGAGGACTTGAGAATTTTCCCCTTTGATCGATACAATGAAGTCTATTAGCATGTATGAACAAGGAAATATAAAACATCACATCAAATGTATAACATTCATTTCCCTTCTCTCTCTAACGTACACCAATGGTGCCATTAGGTTAAAGTGTACACGGAGGCTGTTAGACTATCCTGTGTTTTAATCACCTCTCCCGCTCAAAACACACACACGTCTAACATTTACAATAAAGACTGGGGTCCTCAGGAGATTTTACAGATTTAAAAAAAATACCCATTTTGTGATAAACAAATCCAAGCCTGTCCACTCCGCAGTTTATAAAGATTTTATTGTGTGTAATAAAAATCCCAAACCAATGCATTTCAGTAAAGCATTTTATTTAAACTGCCCCGGAGACAGCAAGTCGCCCAGGAGCAGCAACTGAATTCTCTCAAAGAATGGATGAATCAAGCTTATTTTTTCTGGGGGGGGGGGGGGGGGGGGGGGGGTGTAGGTGGTGTGGAGAGGGGAGTACCATTGTCAATGCAAGATTACATCAATCTAAATTAGCCAAACAATATTGCATTTTTAATTCCCTCTATTTGTCACGTATGGCCTTTGTAAGAAATGATTTGTGTGATGGTATGGTATTGTTAGCTGACAGATTTATATTTTTTCAATGAGTTATACGCTCAGCGATTCAACTGGCGACATAATTCAATTAAGCATCTTTCGAAATGATTCTAAGTAATAAGGTTGTCTTGATGGTCTATTTGTACTGCAGAGCGGCAGCCCCATGTGTAATTCCATGTAAAATTCTTGTCAATCGGATGTTGAGTGTTGAACCGCATTCGTTGCAATAGGAAAGGAAAAGGCCACAAGTAGAGCTCTGTAATATTATGATTTGATTTAGTTATACGGCACGAGATTAGCAATACTGCAATTATAAACAGGTTTAACTACCGTTAATCACAAGTGTAACGATTTAATTTCAATCCATTTCAATTAGATTCCCCGGGCAGTACATAATCGCGCTGAAAGATGATCATCTCAACAATCCAGAGTTTATCGGGCACTCACTAAAACCACGCGGCATTTCTTGTTTATATATATGTATAATTTTCGCATCTTAAATGTTTTCTGAGAATTTATGGAGATTTTCTCCTGTTTGCAGACACAGTTAGAATGCCCGGGATTTCCCACTGACTGCCCAGCTCCGTGGAAACAAGCGATCACACCAGATTCTCCCGTTTCAAGAAAATTGATGTATATTGAGGCCTGGAACATTTCGAAAAAAAATTGATCAGATTTCCTCCTCTGTGCTTGGCCCCGTTTCCCAAGACTTCGAGAGGCAAGGATTGTAATTTAAGTGAGTTGTGTGTTGAGAGATTCAAGTGGCGACATAATTCTCCATGTATTTATTACGTAAAAGGAACCTTAATTTTATAACATTTTTTCTATAACAAAAAGCTTTTCTTCAGCCGCTAAAATCGGAGGATTCCAAAAGCGACGCCGACTCTGTCGTTTGCTATTGTTAATGACCACAGTGAGATTTATTCAGTTGTTAGAGAGTCTAGTTTGGCTGCGTATAGCAAAACTTGGATACAGATTATAACAGGATGGTTCAGAATGAGCAGCCTGCATGCTGATATCTTGAAATCTAATTGAAACCGAGAAACGGGAAGTTTTCAATGAGCTCGATCGTTCTTTCGAGAAGACTTTTTTTTCTCCTGGTTTATGAATCACCAGAAAGCTCCACGTCAGATGTGAGATGGATAAACCGTTTCAGAGTCACCGTTTCCTAGTCCCGCTCTCCCTCCCCGCCCCAACACGCGTTTCTGTCACTGGAACATATTTGACTTTTTAGTGTCATCTCGTTCGGTATCGAGGGCTAGTTTGTAATTTTGCAGGCATTGAACTATTTTATTTACTTTTGAAATGGCACACCAGCAGCGTATCTAAATACCAGGAGCAGCGTGT